TTCCGGACCACAATGGCTACAATTAGAGTACTTTTTGGGTGCTTCCTTTTCCGGACCGCTGCATGTCTTTCCGGACCACAATGGCTACAATTAGATTACGTTTTGGGTGCTTGCTTTTCCGGACCGCTGCATGTCTTTCGGACCGCGATATCTACAATTAGAGTACTTTTTTGGTGCTTGCTTTTCCGGACCGCTGCATGTCTTTCCGGACCACAATGGCTACAATTAGAGTACGTTTTGGGTGCTTGCTTTTCCGGACCGCTGCATGTCTTTCGGTCTACAATTAGAGTACGTTTTGGGTGCTTGCTTTTCCGGACCGCTGCATGTCTTTCCGGACCACAATGGCTACAATTAGAGTACGTTTTGGGTGCTTGCTTTTCCGGACCGCTGCACGTCTTTCCGGACCGCAATATCTACAATTAGAGTACTTTTTTGGGTGCTTGCTTTTCCGGACCGCTACAGGTCTTTCCGGACCACAATGACTACAATTAGAGTACTTTTTGGGTGCTTGCTTTTCCGGACCGCTGCAGGTCTTTCCGGACCGCGATATCTACAATTAGAGTACGTTTTGGGTGCTTGCTTTTCCGGACCGCTGCATGTCTTTCCGGACCGCAATGCTACAATTAGAGTACGTTTTGGGTGCTTGCTTTTCCGGACCGCTGCATGTCTTTCCGGCAATTAGAGTACTTTTTGGGTGCTTGCTTTTCCGGACCGCTGCAGGTCTTTCCGGACCGTAATGTCTACAATTAGAGTACGTTTTGGGTGCTTGCTTTTCCGGACCGCTGCATGTCTTTCCGGGCCGCAATGTCTACAATTAGAGTACGTTTTGAGTGCTTGCTTTTCCGGACCGCTGCTCATCTTTCCGGACCGCAATGTCTACAATTAGAGTGCGTTTTGGGTGCTCGCTTTTCCGGGCCGCTGCATGCCTTTCCGGACCGCAATCGCTACGATTAGAGTACGTTTTGGGTGCTTGCTTTTCCGGACCGTTGCACGTCTTTCCGGACCGCATGTGTTTCAAGTACAATCTGTTTTGAGCCCCCTCTTTTGGATGTCTTAAGAACTAGGTAGCCCCATAACCGGCCCCAAAAGAGGTCTGAAACCAGTTCGACACATCTTCCTGCTCACCGTCTCAAGACTTCTTCTTTCTCTCTGTCTCTTTCTCCCTTCTCTTCTTTCTTTTCCCGTTTTTTCCTGTTTTCTCTCCAAAGCTGAGGTAGCCTACGGACAAAAAGAGGTCTGAAACCACTCTGAAACACCCCGCTGCTCACCATTTACAACGCTCTCTCTCTCCTCTCCCTCTTCCTCTCTCTCTCTCTCTCTCTCTCTCGCCTTCTGTTTGTCTCCATCTTCCATCTTCCTCTCTCTTCCTCTCTCTCTCTCTATCTCTCTCTCTCTCTCTCTTTCCCTCTTCCTCTCTCTGTCTCTCTCTCTCTCTCTCTTTCTCTACCTTTTCTCTTTCTTTTTCATCTCCCAAAGCTGGGGGTACCCAAAAAACAAGCCCAAAAGAGGTCTGAAACCACTCTGAAACACCTTCCTGCTCACCATCTCCGGGCTGCTGCTGCATGTCTTCCGGACCGCGTTGGCTGCTTTATCTCTATCTATCTATCTATCTATCTATTTATCTATCTATCTATCTATCTACTATCTATCTATCTATCTATCTGTCTATCTATCTATCTGTCTGTCTATCTATCTATCTATCTCTCTCTCTCTCTATCTATCTATCTATCTATCTATCTATCTGCTCTTTAAATGTATTTCCTTGTATGTTGTGTTCAAGTCTTTTCTGTCTGTAAATTGTTCTTTTCATCAAGGTCAGCTAGACCCCCCGAAGGGGTCTGAAACCACTCTGAAACCGCTCTGAAACCACAGAAGTTCAACACGTGCAGAGCTACTTCCCAGTACTACTTCCCAGTACTACTGTGTACTACAAAGCTTGCACAAAGCACTTCCCAGCACTACTGTGTACTACAAAGCTTGCACAAAGCACTTCCCAGTACTACTGTGTACTACAAAGCTTGCACAAAGCACTTCCCAGTACTACTGTGTACTACAAAGCTTGCACAAAGCACCTCCCAGTACTACTGTGTACTACAAAGCTTGCACAAACTACTTCCCAGTACTACTGTGTACTACAAAGCTTGCACAAAGCACTTCCCAGTACTACTTTACACTACAAAGCTTGCACAAACTACTTCCCAGTACTACTTTGTACTGCATGGCTTGCACAAACTACTTCCCAGTACTACTGTGTACTACAAAGCTTGCACAAACTACTTCCCAGTACTACTTTGCACTACAAAGCTTGCACAAACTACTTCCCAGTACTACTTTGAACTACAAAGCTTGCACAAACTACTTCCCAGTACTACTGTGTACTACAAAGCTTGCACAAACTACTTCCCAGTACGAAATACTAAGTGAATACTAAATATTTAACATTCGAAAACAAGTACGAGAATAATGATGAAAAACAACTGAAATGATGAAAGTGATCCGGGAGTGTGGTCGCGCAAGAAACGCGCAAGGTTGGCGCAAGCTCGGCCCAAGAGGCCTTTGTGGGAACAGTAATTTAGGACAACCCCCATATATATATATATATGTGTGTGTGTATATGTGTATATATATATATGTGTGTGTGTGTGTGGAAGGGACCTTTATGTATAGAATGACGGGGTTTGGGGAAAAAACATCACAAGACCTACAATAACTGTCCGAAGGTTAATTTTGATTTCATCTGCTGCCGCTCCACCCTTTCACATTTCCATCTCGCTTCTGAGGACCTCAATTACTATTCCATAAGAAAGGCTAGTCTAAAATCCGATCTCCTTATTCATCTCCTTTTCAATGTTTCTCTGAATTCATGGGTGCATTTCCTTTGGCTTTCCTTCAAGTTTGCTGTCAGATTTATCCTGGCATCTAGACTTTGTACATTTCCTTTTCGAAATTTAAATTCCTAATGAAATTGTTCCAGTTCCTTCAACCTTTCAAGTTTTATTTTGGCATTTTTTTGCCCACCAGGGGGGTCTAAATGGATCTAATATGATTCAATATGTACGATATGCCAAAGAACTGCCTTTTTGTCCATCCCTCCTGGAGATCATGGTGCCCCATTCCGCCAAGACAAACATGACTGGCTCATATTATGGTTATATAATTTGCTGAGCTAGGATTCCGGATGCGCTCCCAAGCGGTTCAGAATGGCAGGCAGGTGCAAATCGCTGCGCAACTCGGTGCGCTGGTGGCGATGGATGGCGGCAGCACGGATGTCAGCGACACGGCAGAGGCCATGATGCCATGGAGCGGGTTGCGCGAGTCGCAGGCTGGATGGGTGGATGTCCTGATATGTCCTGATATACATTAGTACTCGCCCTCTGGTAAACTGCCACATAACTATGGAACATCTCCATTTTTAATGGGTAAATCAACTATTTCGACTGGGCCATTTTCAATAGCTATGTTAGTTTACCGGAGGGTGTTCATTGTGATTTTAGAATGTATAATGCCATTTATAGAATGTATAATTCCAGTTATGGCCATGGCTATTGGTTATAACTGGTGATTTCTATGGGATTCTATACATTCCATAGGTGGGGTTTTAGTGCTTATAAATGGTATTTCGGGCGATAACTATATATGGTACACCATGGTTGTGAGAAATTTGCGTGTTGCTTTCTCATGGCATGTTGGCTTTGTTGGACAACCCCATCTTACTATGGTTACGATATTTTATATTAATAAAAACATGATTAAGCCAGTTAGAAACAGAACTTGTACTTTGCAGTTTTAATTTTGGAGTGGTAAACCTTGGTTGTTGAGTATGCTTAGGGATTCCAATCACATCCTCACCATTGTGCCTTGAAATACCATGCAAAACATCTATTATCTCTCAGGGAGTGGTGAAATGGTTGAAGTTATATCAGCTACGTCAGCTGCAGCCAAGGTCCATGATGACAGTTGTGGAGTCACTGTCCACCTTTCAAGGGGCTCATGATAAAGCCTGAAGACCAGGGCAACTCCTAGAGACAGAATCTGCGGAAGCAGCCAGTTGGTATAGTTTCTATCGTTTATTCTTGTTTTGTATTGTGGATGTCAGTTTTCAGCATGTGTTGTTGATTTCATTTAATGAAATTCATTTAGTTTAATCTGCCCGGAATGAGGCGTCCGGCGTCGTCTAGGTTCCGTTTGCGGAAAATCTTTGGACCCCAATCAGTGCCAGCTTCTCCTCCCTGCAATGATCCCCCACTCCAAAGCCAGCTATTCGATTCTCTTGCTTCAAGCCTACTAGGACCGGAAGAATGAATCCTGTTTTACCGGATATTGCAGGAAGGCGGAAGAAATTCGGAGGTTCAACAATGATATGATATGATATGATATGATATGATGTATTCTAGGTTTTTCCTGTTTTCCCTTCAACCAGCCCCTTGAAACCAGCTCGCCACTCAGCTGGGATGACCACTGTGCTGGTTCGCAGGCGGATTGGTCCGCCATTGCCCAAGCCACTGCGACTTGGCGGGTGTGGATTCCCCACCTTTTTCGAATTGCCAGAAGTTGCTTCAAAACGGATCCTGTGAGTCCTCCATGAGGGCTACAAGTCTTCGTGACTCATATTTTTTCTTTGGGTTTTGGCCCGTGCTGAGTCAGTGCTGTTGATGGCGAGGGTGTCAGGATGAATCCAATGTGACCACCTGGACGGCAGCCAGGACATCTGGCTGGCCACACGGGGCACATAAGCTGTCAATGAGTAGCGGCCATCCACAAGTCCCAAGTACCAGCGGCCTACAATGCAACCAACAACTAAAAGAAAATAACCATGTTTGTCTGAACATGGGCCCCCCCAAATTTTGATGGTTCATCATCACTTTCCCCCAGAAGAACATATTAGAACTTAGAACTATATATGATTTTATGGCTACCCCCATCTTCAGTTGGCCATTTGCCGCATCCGCAGTGGGCCGCGCGTCGCAATCTTTGGCTCAAAGATTTGCTGAGGGCTCAATAGCGAGTAGCCTTCAGCCGGTGTGAGTGCCTGCTTCGGTGCCCGAACAGTTCAAGGGATGGCAGGAAACCGGTGTTTCTACCACCAAATGTAGGGTTTTCCGGTGTGTAAGAGGAGCACCTGACTGTAGGTCGGAAGACTAAGACTAAGATGAATCCTTCAAAGGAATAAAGCCTTGGATTGATGGGATATGTGGGTTGTCTCAAGTTGGGGGGTACTGTACCCAAAGAATCTTGAAATTGTTGTTTTTAATGGGAATTATGGCAAACCATTAAGTTCTGGATTTCATTTTGGTGGATTAAACCATATTTGTTGGTAGATCTGTGGCCTCCTTTTTTTTGTGCGAACCCTTTCTAATGGTGACATGCTAATCCCCATGTGTAGCAAGAAACTCTGCTAAACCACGTTGCAGCCGGTCGAAATAGTAACCCCAAGGTGCACAGACACAGGGCTAGTAGATGATGAAGAACGAGGCACGCTGATGAATGGACATCTGATTTTTGAGGATTTACAGTACCCGCAACATCCCGCAACGGTGTCTTCAAACATGGCTAGTTGTGAAATCCTTTGACGAAATGTAACTAAAGGGATGGTTTCTTGGAAATCATCGAAAGAAATGGTGGATTTTCCAGCAAACCATATTTGATCTTTGATTACTGGAGGGTATTGGGCAGAGCCATGGCAGTCATAAGTGCAAAGGATATAAATGGGGAATGCAACATCCCGCGAACCTAAACGTTTTCCAGGGTAGCCAAGGTTTGTCACGTGTTCCCCAAGTCGGGAAGAAGAATCTCCCGCAATGTAGTCCAGTACCACCCATAAATAGAGTAGAGTCAGTCATTGAAAAAGGTACTGAGTTCATTGGCTAGCGGCTTGCTACAAAGTGGCCCCACTAGATATAAGTTTATGTATCACATGCTACAACCCCACCTAGGCGAGTTAGAATCATGTTATATTCCCCATAAAACCACTATAAACCACGGCTAATCAGGTTTGAAATCAATTTAGCCATCTTGCGGGGCACCATAAATCACTGGATTTTGCAGCGACGGAATGAAGAAAGGTCAATCTCAGCCCGTCTTTGGCTTCCACCTTTAAGGTGGTATATACTGGGGATGAGAGAGAGAGAGAGGGCGGTGGGGAGGTATATAATGGGTATTTATATGAACTTATCTGAATCAATTATAACGACCTCACGCTGCGACGGCACTGGAATAATGGTTTGGATTGGGGTAAGTATATCCCACATAGAAGAAATACAAAGACATTGAATTATATATATATATAATAGTATCATTTATATATTCAGTTATCATCATTTATCCACATCTGTTTGCAAAGGCGACAGCCAAGGCGACAAGTTTGGTGGTGATGATCCCAATTTGTGATGATAGATCTTTGGGTCCAGCATTTGCCCACAAACAATGGGATATGATGGATGAAATCCCTGGACCCCAGCATGGCCATCAAGAATCACCATGAATCACCATGAATGGCAAATGAGTTACCCGGTAAGGTAATTCAAGAGTTTGCGAACTTGAACATGGCCCAGTCGAAATAGTTGATGACTACCCATCAAAAATGGTGATTTTCCACAGTTATTTTCTAGTAAAATCACTATTTTTCATGGGTAAATCCATTATTATGGCAATTTTCAATAGTTATCCCATAGGATCCATGGTGCTGGTATATATGCTAACATGACTGGGCTATATTGATGGGATCCATGCCACACCATATATGGCAGCACCATGGATCCGTCATGGCTATGTGGCAGTTGACCAGGCCGGGTAGAAAAACCTCCGTGGCCCCACATGGGATGATCGGTCAGAGGGCGCCAGGCACATGGGGACGCGGAAGATTACACAGAGAGTGATGACGAGGGGGCAGACGGCTACCGCAGCATTGGCAGCAAGGAGTGGGCCTCTAGCCATGCCATCTATAAATCTGGGTGATTTTTTTAACGACCGAAGCCTGTTCTCCCGAGCCCTGGAATCATGGTTTATTTGAGGGAAATCATCCCCAAATGGCCGAACCATTCAGGTTAGTGAAATATTATAACTTACCCAGATAAATGGGATATTAATGGGAAATTAATGGGATTTTATAGTGATTCAATGTGATATTAATTGGATATAGCCAACCTGGTTATGACTAACAGTTCGCCATGGTATAGATGGGCCATAGAAATAGATGGTTTGCCGAACTTAAACATGGTGATTTTCCATGGCTATGTTAAATCACCAGATGGTAATTGGTTTAAAAAAAACATGCCAAAAAAAACACATGTCCAAACATGCCAAAAGCCTATGAGGAGACACCAAACTTTTCGGCACCAAAATCAACTCATTGAAACCATCTGAACCAGGGCCACACTTTTCGGCGGTGCAATCTTCGCTTGAGACCACACCTCTTTCGCTGAGGCAAAGGTGGATACCACCCCGTGCACGTGGGCGAGATTTACAACGGCCGGTACCACGTATTGGCGAAGCTGGGTTGGGGCCACTTTTCCACCGTGTGGCTTTGTCAGGACCGCTGGTAGTAACCTGCGATCGAATGGATTTCATGGGGATAAGCGTCGAACATGGGGATATCATAGGGATATAATGGGTAGCCAATGATGACCTGGTTGGTGGTTTCAACTCTGTGTTTCAAACCATATTTGGGATGATATTCCCAACTGACTAGCGTCTTTCGGGGAGGTTGAAACATGTTGAAAACGCCAACCAATTTTGATGATTTTGATGTGTTGTGTCTTGATTATACATTGGTTACTGTAAATTGTGTTGCGACCTCACTGTTCTCCCTCACTGGAATGACGATGAATGGTTTGTAAGGTGAATTATCATGAATTATCCCAATATTAATCAAACTTTTCAGGTTCGTGAACTATTTCAATTTACCCCAGAGTTAGATCTTTGTTCTTTAATTTCAATTCCTCAGAGTTATGGAGGATCTAACAATGGAGACTTCCAATGGAATAATTCATGGATCCAGCCGTGGCGCACTCAAGTCGTCCAGGAAATTCATCAAGCTTCTGTCATTCTTCATGTTGTTTTCAGGGATTGGCCGCACTTATGAGATTTTATGTATATACATATTATGTATCATCATCATCATCATATACATACATACATATATATATATATATATTATGTATGATTATGTATGTATGTGTATGTTTGGTCTATTAGGTCTTTTAATTGCATGTATTTTCCTGCTTTTCCTTGTTCCATTGTTGCGCTCCCCCGGCCAAAAATCAGCACACGCCACACAGGACCTCTCAGCAACCCGTTATGTAGCCATGAAGGCTGGACAGATGAAGCTTCCAGCCTTCCCAGAACCATCGAACCTGCCAGAAGCCACGGGCCAGGTCCAAAAGAGCGCTCCACACTACACCGAAGCAGCCTATGATGAGATCGAACTCCTGGCCGAGGCAGCGGCTTCACAGTAATCCACATTTTTTTTTGTTTGGAATTGTTTTTAGAAAAAATAGAAACACGTCATATCCCATAGGATCCATGTATGCTATATATGGTAACATTTACCATCAATATACCCCAAATGTTAGCATATACCAGCACCATGGATCCTATGGGTATTAGATCAAATTTCATGTCCAGGTGTTAGATGATATTTGATCTGGGGTGAAGCCACCAACGGATGGAGGTTTCCATGGCCAGGGGTTATAGCTGGTTTAGTTCATGGAAAAACCTTTTAAACTATATTAAAATTGGGATGATTTAGGGATATCCTAAAATTTTAGGAATCATCCATATATATATATATATGTACATACATCATATGACTTATATGACAGATTAATGTGGTGAACTGTTTAAGCATTACATCTTTGATGTTTAAACGAGTCGACCAAGCCGGAAGACCTCGATCATCCCTAAAGAGGGGACACCATCCCCCCAAGAAAAACCAGAAATTTTAGTGGAAACTGATCGTTGGAATTTCTATTTAAGGACTTAAAGAAATAATTACTTGGATCTATTTAGATCTATTTGGCAGGGTCTATGTTTCTATGTTAGTTGCGGGTATGATGATCATTTCCTTGAACCAGCGGGAATCATTGGGATTCGTTGTGAGTTGTTTCAATCACGTCTTATTTCCCATCCTGTGAAATGTATGTTGGGTTGATCATACCACCCGACTTGATCTGGTTGGTGGTTTGGAACATGAATTTTATGACTTTCCATCTATTGGGAATAATGATCCCAATTGACTTTCATATTTTTCAGAGGAGTGGCTCAACCACCAACCAGTGATATTTATGCCATGTTGGTGATATCTTGGTGAGGGCGCCTTCGATCCTTCGGGCCTTCCTATGTTGCCTGAGGATCCCATGCATCAACTGTTGCGGGGGTGGTTAACCACCGATTGCAGCCTTGCGAGGCAGCCAAAAGAAGCAAAGATGCAGCATGGGAGGTCGGGCCTGACACATCGCATAAATTTGCCTTGTCTAAGCTCTAAAAGCAGTGGAGATACGTAATTCGAGAAGAGATATGATGAAGCTAAAGCCTTTAAAGCCGCCAAGTGGAGGATATGAAATGTTCGATAACTGGCAACACACCAATCATGTCATCATGTCGTCATAGTCACCATCCCATTGGTTCATATTGGTCCCATTCCATGCCAGCCAGGAAACTCAGAAAGGACCTTTGAGGGAGCTCTTTCCAGATGGGGGAGAAGGCTTCACCGGAGTAGTCCAGCTCATTGTCGCTTGGCGTAACCAAAAAAACCTCTGGAAACCTCGTGAAAGACGTACCCGGATCTGGCCTTTTTCAAAGATTCCCCATGAGACAATCGCAGATTCATCCACAGGCTGATTTCGCCATGGGATTTTGGGCTGGGTTGGTCAATCGGCTGGGGTGGAAGCCTCGCAGCTCCTTCCGAGGACTACTTCGAACATTTTGGTGTGAACGGGAAGCATGCACTTTGCACGCATGAGGGGTCGCTGTGAATATTGGAAAGGGCAGGAATGAAACGGACATCTGTGGCTACCATGCGCCTGTGAATGTCAGATTCCTACAGCCTAGGGCCTGCCTACCTTGCGAATTCTTATTCATGATCACATGTGTTTAATTGTGTATATATATAGATGTGTGTGTGTGTGTCAATATGTATCATTATAATTGATTATCCATGCAATATTCATGCAATGAGCTAAACCCAAACGCCCAAAGCATCCCCAATTCGGATCGGCCTGGTTCGCTGTGGCGTTGGTGCTGGATCACCCAGTGAAGTGCCGTGGACATTTCGAATATGCATAGCAAGCTGATAGGTACATTTGTGGAAACATTGGATGTTTTTCTTAACATCCCCCGATAAATACCCGCGATTGCCTAACAGATCCAAAAATGGAGATAGTATGCTGAAGGCCATATGTTTGGATGATGTGGCCCTCCCTAAAAACCCAAACATAAACATGCTAGTAGTACGGCCAGGTGCTGTGTGTTGCCCGGAAGGTTCAAATGGCATTTAAACATGTTTTGAACATTATCCTTCAACATGCTCAAACACCTGCGCAGGGCCATTTTTTTTAGATTTCCCAGACGACCCTAAACCCCAAAACCCTAAACCATCCTAAAACCTAAAACCCCAAACCCTAAAATCCCAAACCCTAAAACCCTAAAACCTAGGCTCTGAAAACTTTGAATCCTAAACTGGAAAATACTAAGTATACGCAGTATTTTCTGCAATCTCTCCTAATTATCATATATTCAACAGCACGACATTCTCAATGTTAATGTCTGGGCAACTCACGGCATCTGTGGGTAGTAGGTACGCGATGCATTAAAAATGGCCACGATCCAGGTCTGCATGGTCTTTGAGACGATGGGTCCGAACGTTTTGGCCCTCATCAAGAGGTCAGCTGGGCGAGGTAGGTGTTAAATTGCAAGGGGATGAGCACTGGGATATTTATATACAACTGACACAGTGACACATTGATATTCTACTGGCATTGCTTACATGGGCCGTGCTTAGACATATGGTGCACCATCCACATCCCGGTCTTGCACCCAAAAACTTGACATAACTTGACCCTTTCCCAAGCCCCGAGCCCAGGTACAATTTCAAAGGCATTCCCGTGGATATTGTCCGGAAGGTCACCACTCACACCTTAATTGGCTTGGATTATTTGCACCTTGGCTGCCGCCAGGGACGAGTTCAGTCTTGATCAGTACCCCAACAGGTTCTCCATCCTGGGCACTTTTTGAAACTCTTGTGGGTCCCTGGAAGGTTTAGGCAAGCAGGTGTTGACCACAATAAACTCCCAGTCACCCCACAGTTACTTGAAGTAAGCCGACTGTTTTTTCAAACATGTTGTGCTTGTCTTTTTCATTTGCAGGTCCGTTCTTCTAGGCAAATTACCCAAACATTTGATGGTCAAATCTATTTGGGCTACCTAGAAAAGTTGCCTTGGGATCCTTGAAGCTGGTCTGGGAGCAACCTGGGCATCACCATACCACCATACGCACATATACATGCCATGCCATTGCATTTCGTAACGTTCCGTTACGTTACGTTACATAATATTACTTACCCATAGGATCCATGTATGCCATATATGGTAACATTTACCATCAATATACCCCAAATGTTAGCATATATACCATACATGGATCCTATGGGTTACAATACGCACTTTTATGTGAATATATACCATTATATATATATATATATTATATATTATATATATGTGTGTGTGTGCGTGTGTAGGTAGAGAGATAGAGAGAGAGAGAGAGAGAGAGAGAGAGAGACCTCCGACCTCAGGCACCGGGTTTGTGGCATCATCCACACGGATTTGAAGCCAGAGAACGTGTTGCCTGAATTTTCATGGTGCTGCAACATGGTGATTCAGTGGGATTGAATGGTGTTTTAGTGCTGATTTAATGGTTATTGAATGGAAAGTAATGTTGATTTAATGGTTATTTAATGGTGATTCAATGGAATTTCATGGAATTGAATGATGGTTTAATGGGGCTTAATGGCTGTTAAAAACATATGTCCTGGATCTTTCATCGAGCATTTCATGGGGATTCAACCAATACCTTTTTCACCCCGGCTTCGCTGAGCCCCAGCAACAACCACGATTTTTCCGGGGCGAATCTCAACTATCTATGGCTGGGGAGGTAACTTTTGGGTGAGTCACCTGTGGGGGTCGTTGGTTGATATGTTTCATGTTTTATTGTGTGGGAAATCGACCAGAAATTGGAAGCGTTTAGTTCAAAGTCACCGCTTTGGGGTTGTTAAGTGACCATTTCAATATAGTGACTTGAAACTGATAAGATTACCTTGAATTTAAAGACATGGACAGAATTGGAAAGATATGGAAAGTGCATTGACATGGACAGCATGGACAGTGGATCTTTCGAAGTCTGCAAAACTTGGGAAACCTCGAAGGTTGGTGGGCTGCCCCCGGGGCGTTCCCGTGAACAAGACGGGCGTGCCATTGGTGGGCAATGTGGATCCCGCCGCGGTGGCTGCGAACTTCAAGAAGGACACAAGCGCCAAAAGCGAGGAAAAGAAGGGCAAGAAGAAGGACCCGCTAGTACTTGGGAGCGCAGTTGGGATGAGAAGAATGGGTATCACTCTATATAGAAAAACTATGAAAAACTGGTTGGTGGTTTGGAACATTTTTATGACTTTCCATCTGTTGGGAAAAATCATCCCAACTGACTAATATTTTTTCAGAGGGGTTGAAACCACCAACCTGTATATGTATATATATATATACATATATATATAGTAGGAATAGTAGGAATGTAGTAAGAACCTCCAGAGCTTGGGATATGGGACCCCTACAACTATGATGAGACATAGACCACTTATTAGTAGAACTGCGGGTTCAAGACCCTTGTGTATTAGTCATAAAAGACGATAAAGTTAATCCAATCCCCTTCATATTAAACATCCCCTACAGAAACCATGGTCGTGGATGTCGGCAACAAAGGCACAAGTTTCGAACCATACAAGATTTCTGAAGTGAGTACTGCACCATTTAGCAACTTGAGGCAATGGCATATCCAGCAGATTCATGTGCACGTGGTTGATTTTCCACTGCCCCGTATGTTTATCAGATGGTAAAATCCCCGCCCTTTAGAGTTCTAGACTACCCTTCCAGGCAGTCTGATGGCAGAGGCCCCCAAAAAGATAGACAATGCACAGTAGCAGTGCGACAACTTCTAGTTGGTCCCTTCTGGGCTCATCACGTCAGGACAAAAAGTTTGATGAAGAAGGCCGGGCAAGTGGGCTGAAACAGAAATACAATCTGGTGTCATCATGGCTAGCTGGGAAATTCCTTATAAATGGAAATCTTACTGTAATGAGAAAATATTCTATACATATATATATACACATATAAATGGTGGATTTTCCATTGCCATGCTTGATTACTCAAGGGTACCTGGCTGATGTTCAATATGTTTTCAAATTATGGCTCTATTATTGCCCAGCAAAGGTGGTATGGAAAGCGGCCATGAGAATATCCAGACTGGGGTCCCATTTGGTCTCTGATTTTACACCCCAGGAAAAGCCAAATTGACCGAGCTGAATGATGACTATATATATATATATATATATATACATACATATGTATATATATATACACACATAGGTCTTGAACGTGTCAGAAAACCGCACCCGTGACATTCCAGGTTTTCAGTTTTGGCCTATTCAACCTTATAACTATGTACTATTATTTCAAGTTGTCCTCATATGACTATACCCCAACATTATTCCGGCATTGGTCAAAACTTTCTTTTATTGTTTTAAAGGAGTACTGTTTGAAATACTACTAATACCAAGGCTATCTATGCTTTCCAGTGTTCTGTGCCCTTTTGCTTTATCAAGCCGAATCATACCTATAATTACCCAGTCGCAACACTACTCGCAGACTTGAAGGGGACATGTGCAGGATTTGCCTCCTTCAACCCACTTGGGTGCAAATATCATGATCCCAACCGCAAATGTTACCTTAAATCATCGAAATCTATCGAAATCTGCTTACGCCCACTCCGCTTAAATTGTACCCCAAAGATGTCTCGAGTCTCCAAGAACTCCAATGGCCCAGAGCTGGTTCCACCGCAAGGTTCAGATGTCGAAGATGAAGCTGCACCCAGACCTCCACCTATGCTGGTTCCTTGACGTCAGCTATGCCGTTCTGGGAAAGACACCATTGGATTTTTTTTTCACAACGTGGGACCGCCCCAGTTCTAAGTTGCTTTATGTAGCTAAGGTGTAAACTATATAGTTAATAGTTCTAGGATGTTATAAATAATGTATAATATCTATAAACTCTGATTATTGGAGTTCTAAACCACCTTAGCTAGGCCCTAGGTGGCCCATATGTCGGGGATCATGTTGATGTTGGGCAGATCCATGGATCCCGCACACGGAAGGTATGCAGAAATATCCCATTTTTCGAAGACAGTTTAAGATTTTTTTAAGTCGTTGAATAAATGTTGAATCCCATTCAAAAAACCATATCAGCCTTTTTTTAACTCCAGGTAGAGTCACAACTGATCCATCGACATAAATCTGGATCAGTTGTAGCACGGATCAACCAATGCCTTGCGGCAAATCTTAGGTCCATGACCCCATGCAAACAGCTCCTCCTGAGCCTATAGAGCCTCCCTACATGACGCTTGGACGCGGTGCTGGTCTTGCTGGTCTTGAACTCTGGGGACTATCCCAAAAGATTGCCGTTGAAATAATCGCAACTAGGGAGTCTAGTGATGATTAAATCTTGTTCTCCCCACGCTTTGGCACGGATCAACCAGAGGATTTGGAGGTTCCAAACCAGACAATCCTGTGTGGCAACAGACAATGTGAAGATCCAACAAAACTGTGTTCGTATAGAGAAATAGCTTCAGACAATTTCTGATTCTCACATCAGTAGGTGGGCCCTAAAGTCCCTAAAGGTCATGATTGTTGACCCATATTTCATGAGTGAACTTTCCTAACATCCATGATGGCAGCCATGGCAGCCCATCCGCCCCTCCGGCAGTCGAACATGGCTGGGAGATGCCGAACTTAATGGGCCAATGGGCATTTAAACGGAAACATGATCTATAAATGCGACATGTTCGACATGTTCAAAAACGTTTTAAAAACGCTTTCCATTGCCATGTGAAATTGACTCATTTGTAAGGCGGGAAGCCATTAGTACCCTGCAGCCCTGCAGGAAGCCATTTTTGAAGCCAAGCCGATCAGATCCCACTCTGTTGTCTTCATATGGTGTCTCGGCACGGACCTAGAGATTGGGATGCTTGGTTAGCGCCACGAATGATTTATGATAGACTAGACTATCAGATTGACTTTTCAAGCAGCTTTTGTAATATCAATAAATATATTTTTTTTGCAGGCGATTTTGCATTTGCAATGGGTAGGCAATAATGGATACGGATGGGGATGGGGATGGGAATATAGTCAGCAGTCATTGGCATCCAATGTGTAACATGTAATTTAACATGGTGTAACCATGATATTTCCACCACAGACACAGCTTTGTACTTCAGCTCATTTGACATTCGTGCCTCGAAACTAGGGTTGTCTACATTTACATTTGGTTTAGACGTAAAATGATCCTAAAAGCTTTACAATCCACATATCCACCCCATATATCCCCGTAGAAAAAGACAGTCCCTCATAATGGGAAAACCATGCATCGAATTTGGGATTGAGAGATGTTCTGTCTACTCCAGTCTAGCACAACCACTTTGTCGTATATACAGTAATGCATATTTACTGCAATACAAAAAGGCAACCAAGTCATGAAATATAAGGTATATATCTATATGCCAATGCCCACATATTAATATAGACATTTTAACATATCTGCATATACTATTAAAATACTATTATGATGACATCAATGATTTATTGGTACTGCTGTAGTCATTCTATAAGTGTTGTTATTCTTCGTTGTTCTTCGTTGCGTTCATTGGTGTAATGACTAGAGAGACGCATTGGGATATGTCCATCTCAGTGGGGTCGCTCCGAGGCGATGACTCCATTGCATTGAACCGGCCTTTGTACAACCACGCGGGAAGCTGCTTGGCCGAAAAAACCATCGATCACCCGCGGCTTCAAGTAATCCAAAACGCCCCTGTTGTTTTAACAATCCAAACGCCAAATTCAAAGGAAACCCAAGTTTAGTCTTGGAATTGGTTGACATTACTTTTTTTGAAGTTTGAGACCCCACCAGGCTGGATGATGAATGATCCAAGTAGACGACCATATGATATATCTGGTGTGGCTCCAGAGGCACCCAGCTGAATAGCTGTGCCATTTCAATTCTGTTGTCAAATGTGTTCATCTTTTCCCATTCAGACATTCAGACTGGAATAGCTTACGTGATTAGCACTTATAACCCATTCACTGTGACATTTCTTCAGACCTTTTTCAGACCCTACATGTGAAAAAACCAGCCAACCAGCCATCAAAAATCGAGCCCGCAGCATCCAACCCACCCACAAATCTGCGCCCAGCTATGCCCAGCTAGGTCTGATGAAGGTCCCTCCTCCCGGAGTCCCCGTGCCGGCTCCCATGCCGCCCAGCTCCTCTTCCGGAGTAGCCAAGCCGGAGAGCCCCTTGGATGCGGAGTGCCCAAGCCAGGAAATCCCTTGTTGGAAACCTATGGGAAATCCCAACAAAAATCCAGAGAAAATCCCATGTGACATGGTGAAATCCTATCCAAAAGCTGACACATCTCATAATCGCATGGTTTCTTGCCGAAAAACACTTAAACAATCTTGAACCAAAGCTAGAAATGCTAGAAAAAGGATGGGGATGGGTTCGGGAATGGTCGATTTAGCTCCAATTTATGGTAATTTCGATGGTGAAACAGCTGGAGTTTTACGGCAAATGTGGCCTGCGCTGTCAACCCCGGATAAATACAGCATTATAACATCGGGGGGTGACCAAAATAGTTATAACATGTTATGACTTATTTAGGACACTGCCACCACCCTATTGGGTCCTATCAGTCTGGGTATGCCTGGGTCCCTGGTCCCTATATTTCCACTACATCAAAATTTTGTGGTTTTGTTGTTTTGAGTCTTCAAAAGCATGTATGTTTTCTTTTCTTTTTTTCCGGATGCCCAAGTTTGAGCCATACCTGACCGGATTTTTCTACACCTGGCAATATTTGTCAGCACCATTTGCTGAATCACCACCATCAGGAACAAATCCATCAACGTCATCATCCATCATTGATGTCTGTAACAATGTTTCCTCATTGTTTCTTCAGCAGCTGGCAGCTGCCGTCAGCACCATTCGCAGTCTTGTCCAGGTATTGATGAGAAATTGATCGAGGAGGTTTTGGGTTTGGATTTGTTTGACCATGACGGTGTCACCTACAAAGTGGCCGACTTGGGCAATGCTTGCTGGGTGGAAAGGCGGGGGACCAACTCCAGGGACTGTCAGATCTTGCTGATAAGATCTAGCTGGGCCAGCTCCCTATCTCATAGGATCCATGGTGCTGCCATATATGGTAACATGGATCCCATCAATATACCCCATTTATGTTAGCATATATACCAGCACCATGGATCCTATGGCTATTTGGGTCTGTATTTTATATCTGGCTGGTCTTGGAGATCCCGTGATCTCCATTGGGAATTCCTCACAGCTGGAGGCACTTCTCAGATGACATCCAGACGCGACAGTACCGCTCGCCTGAGACCATCATTAATGCAGGATATGATACCTCAGCCTCTTGGCAAAGATACCTTTTCTAACCAACATCTTTTAAAGCGCGAGAACGGAGAAAGGCTGGTGTGATCTGGTGTGGCCTTTGGTCAATCGAACATATCTGGAAAAACCATCTTTTGGTTGGAGAAAATCTGTAGATACCTTGCTGTACTGGGATTTTGTTGTGAATAGGCAAGGTGACCAGAGGATATCTTGAGGGTTTTACGGGGCCACGTCGCTTTTGTTGGTATGCGTTAGTGACTGTTAGTCCGGGGGCTCCTCATCATGTGATGGATCCAGCGGTTTTCCTCTGATATTGCTGTATATAACATATTCTCACGATGCACCAGGGCAAATGACGCGAACCTCGCGTTTGAAACGATGGATCATAAGTTCCCGTTATCATGCGTTTCTTTTACCCCAAGAGTGGAACGTATGAAGCCCGATGAAATCGTATATGTAGCTTGTTTCCCCGGGCTACATTCCTCATCCCTCATCATCCCTCACCATCATCCATCATCATGTTGGTTAATCAAATAACATCAGAAAACCGGAGATGGCTACTTTAGTATAAGTACACTTGATTTATTTCTTGCATACGCCTTGGCAGAATGAAAGTTACGAATCTCAGCTGTCCTTTGTCATCCTTTGTCCAAATGTCCCAGGCAGACATTTGGTCCTTGGCATGCATGGTTTTCGAGCTGGCCACGGGTGACTATCTGTTTGATCCCAAAGCCTCAGACGAATATCCCCGGGACGAGGACTGTAGCGGCTGTAGCGGGCGATGGCCATGAAGCCATGGTGATTTCTGGCTGATGCTTGGATTTGTGGTTGCATACCCATAGGATCCATGTATGCCATATATGGTAACATTTACCATCAATATACCCCAAATGCTAGCATATATACCAGCACCATGGATCCTATGGGATATTGACCATATTGACCATATTGATCAACGAAAGCCGAACGATAGAGAATCTCTACGCCCTTTTTCGAATGTATTTTGGAATGCAAAAAATGGTTTGCGGATTCCATCCTTTTTTGGGCAACAAAAATGGGCAAGCCACAACAACAGGGTCAACAATGGAAAAGATATGGATGCCCATGGGGGATGTCCCAGCCATGGTTGATGACACCGCCATGGGTCATTCCATTAATCACCACTAGTCACCACCATTTGACCATTATTAACCACTACACTAGTAACCCATGGTTATACCACTAAAAAAATCATGAATAACCATCAATAACCACTATTATAGCATTATTAATAAATTATTAACCACTATTCAATATTCATCACTTGCAACCACTATACAATTAATCATTCCAACAACCTCTATGTAGATGAACCATGATGAACCAACCATTATTAAATATTAACCACTTTTAACAACGGTTACACCACTATTCATCCAACGGTTTAAGCGCCAGGACCACTTGGCACTTTTCATTGAGCTTTTGGGGCCAATGCCCAAGGATCTCATCAGTCGTGGAAGGTGCCCCCACGTCGAATTAAAAAGAGCTTGGCCGCCCCGGAATGGAAAACGCTCATGAATCACTGGTAATTATACATACCTGGAAAAGTTATAACGACCTCACTGCGACCTCACTGGAATCATAGTTCATAAGGGAAATCATCCCAAAATGGCATTATTTCAGGTTAGTGAAACATTATAATTTACCCAGACATATACGTATAGCATGAGTCAGTATGAGTATGTAATGTAATAAGATGCACACACACACACACTTGCTCACACACGCATCTATATATATATGTGTGTGTGTGTTTGATTGCGTGTGTGATATATATATATATATATGTGTGTGTGTGTGTTTGAGTGTGTCTGCGCATGTATGTATACGATATATATATATATACCTCCAAAACATCCCCAAAAAAATCCATGATGGATAATCCACCGCGTCCCGCAGGCGGTCGAGCACGTACTTCAACCGCCGCGGGGAACTTCGACACATCAAGTCCCTGCGCTATTGGCCGCTCGCCGAGGTGTTGCCCCTTGGCGCCAGCGGAGTGGGAGGATGTGGGAGGCCTGGAACGCTGGACTTTGAGTGTGAGTATCCCCGAGATTGATATTTATTGTTGAAATTTATTATGAGTTGGCATTGGGAATGCAGATGATGTAATACCAACTTAACTTAATTTACGAATTTATTGTGCATTATGAGTTGGTATTATTGGGACTGCAGATGATGTACAGTAATTATACCAACGTTTGTCTAAACCTTACATGTCAGGATATGTTTTATGATATTATCTCTGTGTGTTTTGCATGCATGCAGATCGTAGTAGTTTGAACGGAGTGTACAAGGCATAATGACCCTGTTACCAGAATAACCCCATTTCAGTGACGGGGGGGATTGTGCATGTCCTATTGATGAGAACATGCCGACCACTGCACATGTATATTCATTCAATGGCCATCATTTGAAAATTTGCAAGTGGTTGACTACTAGACCAGATGACATGGGTGCAGTTGAGTTTAACTCTGAATCGAATGGTTCTATCCAAAAACCACATGTCTTTATTCAATTGTTTCAAGGGAAATTCTATGGCAAACCCTCTAATTTCGGATGGCAGCCACTGCACACATCATTTTCGATTCAACCCCTCACACAGACTTCCCAGTCCTCAGTTTTTCGACCAAGGCTACAGAAGTACCACATGCATGCGATCGAGGCAAAGAGTTTGGCGTCATTCTTGCTGCCAATGCTGCAGCTATTGCCGGAAGACAGGACCATCTGGGACCACATGGAGCTGGAGGGATGATTTTTATGGTGATTTCACCCGGAAAGTAACTGATGGTTTCGAGTTTCTGGCTTTATGTGTGAAACCTTCGTTGGTGAGTTGAACCACCATGGGGCATATTTTGAAGCCCGAAAAATGGGATCATCTCGACTTTGACTAGAGAAGACTACAGAATCTACAGAGAGAGAGAGAGAGAGAGAGAGAGATATATATATAGACAGGTTGACAGTGCCGAGCAGGAACGTGGATAAGCTCCCAACTTTTTAGAGTTAACCACTTCATTTGGGGGGTTCTGTAGGATATTGATGCACCCTCAGGTGCTACGGTGACCTGCACTGCAGGATTTCCGCCAAGGCTGCCTTGGAGCATCCATGGTTTCGACCTCAGATGGCTGGGAAATCCCCGAACTCTGCTGGGAGGTTTATTATTTGGGGAAATCATCGAACTGTACTGGTTGGTGATGTTACTTGGTTTCTAGACATTATCAACCATAGTAGTTCATATATCCACCCCTGGTTGGTGGTTTGAAACATTTTTTTATGACTTTCCATATGTTGGGAAGAATAATCCCAACTGACGCACTCATATTTTTCAGAGGGGCGGGTTGAAACCACCAACCAGTGTATAAATGGATCTAAATGGTGGGTTTTCCGGCAAACCATGTTTGATTGCTGGAGGGTAGTGTCTACAGATGTACGTTTGTCTGAAAATAGGGTAGCCTTGAAAACCCAATGGATTATTATGGCCGGTACCCAATTTTTTTAAAATAAAATTTGGACAAGCCGCGACAAGCCCATATATAACAAACACAGAGTGGATTTGGTTCAATATGAACTGTCAAACAAACCATGGATGGACTTAGATAAACATATACAGGTTGGCAAGTTGTTTAGAGGCATGGTGTTTGTGAGCCCCCCAAGCTGAGAAGTGGCTGGGTTGAAACCATGGTTGCGAATTAGTAATGCACATCCGAAAGTAGGGATAGTCTAACCACTCCGTCGCCGACTTTGGGAGCAGGGTCATTGGTTCTTGATGTTTGGTATTGGACTCAGATGCACATTTATTTTGGCCGGTGGTTAGACAAAAAGAATCAACAAGAAAAACGGTGGTGGGTTTGAAGCTACCAAGTAATATTGATTTCAATGCAAGGGGCCACTAAAGGGCTACTGGCCTCCGTCACAGCGTGGATGTCTCAAGAATTCGATCATAGCCTCCGTACCTTTTTTGCCCCGGATATTCCCAAGGCTGTTCAGAAATCAGCATGCCCCCAGGAGGGTATTGAATAATGAATATCACGACTCTTTGTATTCAATTAATAGAATTGAGGATGGAATCTTATTAAGGGATTGCCTGTACATGATTTTCCCAGAGGCTATGGTGATGTGGGGGTCCAGCCGCCCAGCCGTCCAATTTCTCTGATGTTTTTTGTTCAGCCATGATTCAAGGGCGCCGTAGGGTGTTCCGTTCCGCTCTACCATGTGCACTGGTGGCCCTCATTGTTTGCGTTCCATTCCAATCTGCCATGGTCGCTGGTGGCTCTAATAGTCTGTCGTTGCGACCCTATCAGAAGCTTGGAAGAGCTTGGATTTGCTGCAGGTGATTTAAGTGCGTGCTGGTTAATCCACTGTTTGGCTGGGACATCTTCCAGGAATATCCAGGACCTTCAAACGACCAATAAATATTTGGGTTTTATGGGTCAAAAAAGCAAAAAGCCGAAAAGTGGACCAACCAGCATTGTGGCACCAGTTGTGCGCTTGTTTAGAATATATTTGGAAACACTAGTAATTGTCATGTTTGATCAAGTGTTGGCCTTGCACCCTGGCATTTGAATACACATTTACGATACATCTTTTGCACAAGTGCGCAAGAACTTGTCAGAAGCAAGCAATTTCATCCAGGAATTTCAAATGACCCCAAGCATTCTTTACACGGCCAGAAAAATTGTGGGCTCTGAGAGCTGGCAGCGTCTGAAATGAACTAAAGCAGCGCGAAAAGACGCACATGCAATTTGATGTTTGTCTACTGTACCGGGTGCTGAGTATATTTGTGCAAATTATTGGTCTAAACGAACGGCCGAACACAAGACCGCAAAACGACCGCAAAAAGACCGCAAAAACCTCCCCAAAGGCGCTTAAGTATGCTTAAGTCCTATTTTTGCCTTCCAGTTCCTGCTTTAGCTTTTTGGCACGACATGCACTTCAGGAAAATGGCCACAGAAAACATGTTGTGGTCAAATTCCCGGAGCTGTATTTCCGCTCCGCATATTTTGGCATTTTTGGCCTTGTTCACAGAAAAGACTTCGCGTTCAAAGCATTCGCCCCCCTGCAAAAACATCTATCCTAAACATAAGGTCCGTGTGGAGGGCGCAGTCCAAAAAAACATCAGACAACGCAACTTTTGAAGAAATGATTGCATTCCCCAAATCCTTGCTGGCACCCGAAATACTGCAGGAGTCAGTGGGAAAATCACAGCAGCAACACCAATGTTTAGCAAAACGGCCACCGAAACATACCGAAACAACCATTTCTGGTTTGTGGTTTGGAACATGAATTTTATGACTTTCAATATATTGGGAATAATCATCCTAACTGAGTTTCATATTTTTCAGAGGGGTTGAAACCACCAACCAGATTTGCTTTTGGTGGTTTGTGGGTTCAGCATGTTTTTGTTTATTGGATTTTATTGGGCCATTTGACGCAGATCGAAGGACGGAATGCGTGCAACGATGTGTCGAGAGAAACACTGTAGTGTGCATGAACACTGGAACAGGAAAGACTTTGATTGCTGTCAAGGCTTCGCAAGGGGTAGTGTTTGGGTGATGTTTGAATTTGTTACTTCGTGGGGCAAGTTAACAAAGCTGTTAACAAGAGGCCATGATTTCCATATGATTTATTTTTTCCAGTGGACAATAATCTATCAATTAATGATCCATGGTGGACTTGTTTTTTCCCCTTATGACATCTATTTAAACATGTTCGCTGCAACCCCTAGGTTTGCCCGCGGCCAATCCCGCATATCCTTTGACATGCTCAAATCCCTGCGCAGGGTTTAAGTTTTTTACTTTCCAAAACAACAAACACGGTAAAACCTAAAACCCTAAAACCTAAAACCCTAAACCCTAGATTAAAACCCTAAATCATGAAAACTTAAAGTCAAAATCACTGCGTATAGCCAGTGTTTTCATTGATCCTCTGGTGATAAGTATATCATATTGTTTGGATGTGTTGTTTGAGTGTGGGCGAACCAGAGGGTTGCGGGGAACATGTTATATACGTGTGTATATATATAATTATATATATATGTGATCTCAACTGTTAACTTTAACATACTGCGGGGCATTCCACTTCAGTACTGAAGTTTAAAGTGACTGGGATTGGTTTGATCCACTTTGATCCTCCATTAGATTTCTACCCATATCTACCCATATCCAAAATCTTCCAGGATGATTCACTAGCCTTCGGTAAACAAAGCTGCTTGTAGCAATGGACATCACCAACTTAGCTGCTATTCACTCATAGATATGTTTAGCTGTTGCCCATAGATATTTTTGTTGCCATTGCCACGTGGGTACAAAGTTCCAATGTGTTGCCACTGAGTTCCAATTTTCATCTATTTTCAGCCATCCAACTCCAGATATATCCATTCTTTCACCCATGTTCAACCCATTTGTCAACTTACTTCTGCAGAAACTTCGCCAAAGGGCACCCGATTGCACGGCACGTCACGAAAAGATCATGCGCCATTTCTGGCTCCTCATCCTGCCGTCGCATCGACACCACAAGAGTTGGATGAAGTGGACGAAACCACCAAGTTTTGGTGGCCAAATAACCATGATATTTCACCAACCAACAACTATAGTTGGTGCCACCAAGATATCTTTATACAATCATACTTAACCAGAGTTAACATAGTCAACCACCAAGATCATGTTGTAATAATACATATACTATATAAATCGCCATATTTTGCTGCCTTATCTTCAAGAATGGCCTGAAAGCCAGAGCAAACTGCAGGTCATTGACCACTACCTTCAGCTGCAGAGTGAGCAACGGATCCTGTTTCTGGTGCCCACCAAGGCGTTGGTCAAACAACAGGCAGACTCTTGATCCATGTTTAAAGCAACACTGAAATAAAGAAAGGTTCAACCGCAAGCTATAAGGAAAACATATTTAAACACATAGAAATATAATCAAAAACGTCAGGGAAGAATTTGTGACCGGGTTATCTTCTGAATGTTGGAAATCCCTGGGCCCCCAAATCCAATTCTTTCGGAAACATCATTTTCCCGCTTCACATGCAAATTTGGGGTTACATGCCGATTTCAGACATCATATATTCCATGTTTCACATCTGGAACACGCTTGTTTGTCATAATTTGTTCCCACAAAAGGAGGTACTGTCAAAACCAGGTAAGACATAAGTTGTTTGCAGGATATCTAAGATACTCTAAGATCCAAAGATCTGGTGATCGGATGGGAACCACAGCCGGAAACAGCCGGACTGAAGCATCATTTGACAAAAAATGGAGCTGGACCCAGGCTGAATTCCAAGATGAATGGCTAACTGCCCGACATGTGGTGGCTATAGTATGCCCTGCATTGCCCTGCCATAATCCAATCTCTCCCCATTTTAACCTCGCCCAGGAGTACTGCCGAAAGCATTGCAGTGCCCAGCCTCGGGTGAAAGAAGTTTGCGGCCCCTTAGCAGAGGATCCGGCGAAGGTTCGCTTTTGCCACAGTCAGTGCGTGGAAATTTATGTTGCATAGCATCATACAATTCTGCATGTAGACCGATATGAACTATGAACATGACATTCTGTGTTCATTGGTATGTTGACATACGTGCGTACATGCCAAACTCACCAGTCTTTGCTTTTTTACGGCTTACGATCATTTTGCCTTAATGAAAGAGTGACCACATGTGACCAGCGTCAGTGGTTAGTATCATCCAAGACCTCGTTCCTTTATGACATCAGCGCCGGCGTTTCGAGCCTCAGATGTCCTCAGCTGAGGTATGGAAACTGATGCTTGGGACGAGATCAAATGGAATGAGATCTTCCGAAGCTGGCTGAGGGTTTCAACATGTTTCAACCGTTTTCTGCTTGTCATTGCTTTGGGAAGATGATACATGATGATCCCAGTCGACTTGTGTATACTTGCGTGACATCAGTACTTAGAATCCAGATTTTTGGCACTCAAGATCCCCAATCTTTGGAACTAGAGGGATCTTGCTGCATCATTCTCTGAAAAAGTACGGCTTTTCTTCGCAGCTTGATTGGTGAAGTACGCCAGTTCTGTTGTCAATGTCAATGTCACCGAGTTTTGTTGGCCAAGTATGCTCAACCAGGAAACCATGAGATCATTGTGGGCACACCTGAGCCTTTGCGTGCCGCCATGGATCGTGGTTTTCTGCTCTTCGGCAACAATAGCTGGTAGGCAGGGTCTTCTGGGGCGAACATGGCGCGTCAATCAACAAAATCAACCACTTCATGTATATATATATACACAACTATATATAATTATATGTATATTATATACGTATATGTTAATATATTGGGGAAGATCGGATATATAACAATTAAAGGAGGTTTTAACGAAAGTCGGAAAAACCACAGACCATTTCCTGGGGCGATTTAGCCAATGGTCCATCCCATCTGGGACGCTGATCCCCACCGAGCAACTTCAGGGGGCGAAGAACCACCAAGAGCAAAGCCATGGTTTTGCTCTTGTGACATGTGGTTATATAAAAAAAAACAAACTATATGATATATCTAATATCTGTATAATCATGAGTGAATACGGCTTTATAATGTCGTAAGTCATTAGGTTCAGAGCTATAGAGGTGCAGGATGCCACAGAAATCCCCGGAAACCGAGTAGTGAATGAGAAGCCCCCAGTCGGAAATGTCAGTCAAACAAATCCTCTAGGGACCATGGCTTTCTGTCTAGGGCCCATGACCTTGAATCTTGACTACTCTGTGGTAAACATAGAAAAAACTACTGAGAATGGCCATAGAGATAGATGATTTAAACATTAAAATGGGTGATTTTCCAGTTAGTTATGTGACAGTTTCCCAGAGGGTAGGCCAGCCATAATCTTTGTGGCTAATTCTAGGGGAAAAACAAACATCTAGCCTATGTAGCCTATGTTCAAGGACATCAATCACAGGTTGGTTGTTTCAAACATTTTTTATTTTCCATTTCATATATGGGTTGTCATCCTTCCCATTGACGAACTCATATTTTCAAGATGGTTAAAACATGTTAAAACCACCAACCAGTTCATCTTTCAATTGCACATGTCTTTAGACATCAATGAGTCATATCGGTTGATCTTCAAGTTGCCTCCTAATGTGGAGCGGAGCCAAGGGATCCCAAGAAGGTGCCCCTTGCTCGCAGGAAGTTGGGCTGTCGGAAAGAGGGGACCAGGCAACAGGGCCAACAGATTCAAGGATTTCAAGGAATGATATTAGTTATAATATGAGTATAATATATATAATACACTGTAATATATAAGAAATTAATTAACTAATTAATTCATTAATTTATTTATTATTTATTTAGTTATTGATCAATCTAGATATTATTTATTCATTTATTTTTCTATTTATTTATCTGTCTATTTATTATTTATTTATTTATTTATTTATCGATTTACTTATTTATTTATGTGTGTGTGCAAGTATGGTAGCAACAGTTTTTTTAAGGATATTTTTATAATTGCTTCTCATCTGTATAATATGAATAATAAATAGTAATTAGTATGTTTATAGTTTCCTGAATCTCATGTGCCTGGGTTTCCTATAGGTCATTGGTGATTCTCGATGAGTGCCATCAAGCGACTGGAAGGCACCCCATGGCTGAAACGATTCGGATCGTGACGCTGGGCGGTCAATGGCCATGCAACAGGAACCGATTGATTGGAGGTACCTACCATATATTTTAGGCATTTTTTAAGGCCTATGTCAGGGAATTATAGAAAATCTGCCCTTATATGATACAGATGATACAGTACCTCCATTTTAGGATCCTGAAATTCCCATTGCCAATGGAGACGGGCAACCCTTTGCGAGCCATGATGATGACTGATTGGTCAGGTCGGAATATCTTCGAGTCCTTCCTGGCAAGTTAAGGGAATTTCAAGTTTCCAGGTCCAAACCCGACAGTTTTCCAGCTGCCATGCCCGAGGAAGAAGTTGGAACAGGAACTTCGGCCACGGATTTTGGGACTCACTGCTAGTTTCTACGCCGGAAAATTGAAACGCCGCCGGGCATCAGTTGGTCCCCTGATCCCCAGTGGTGGACCCGGTGACGAGTTGGAAGATCCACTTGGACTGCCCCATGACATCACAGGATAGGCGCCATAGGCGCCATAGGCCTTTCCCAGCGCGGCTGCAAAGGTAAGCGCGATTCCGAAGAGGGACGCCTGGAACTGGAATTGTTGCTGGATGCGAGCTGCTCGGAATTCGCGCAGCATGGAGACACATGGATATCCCAGATTCATCGACAGAGGGGCACCCCATGGCACCTCCCAATTTTTCAAAACCAATGACCAAGGCCAACCAAGGGCAAATCGCGAATTACATCGTTGTTTTTTTGGGGGGTTTTGACGTAAAGCACATCATTGCTAGCAGCAGGAGTCAGGATGTGTTGACTGCTGGCAACTTGTTCTTGTGGCAATGTCTCAGCCTCGCTAGTGATAGCATGTAGCTTCCATCACGCAGCTCTATCCCACTCATGGAAGTACCAATGCGTTCGAGGTCAAGCGCGAATTTGGGAATCCTAAGGTGAGTCTTAGATGAGCGGATGCCCCAAATATGCCCCAAATTAACTTTTTTTTTAGGTGGTATAAACCATTCCCACATGGGTATTGTTTTTCCCACATCAATTGTTTAACCAAATGATGTTTCTTGGCGTTGGGGGTTGCATTTGGGCTGCCCAGTTGGCCAAGGGCTTTGCTTTCGCCGAGGTCTCTTCTGTCCAGATGTTCCCAATGGAAGCTTTGGTTGCAGTTAAGTCCCAACCTTAGATGCTAGATGATGCTAGCATCTATGATAGTTATTTTGTCAGTTGTTTCAAACATATCTTTTTACATGTGTTTATTGTATCTGTGCCAAATGTTAATAATTACTCATTCTCTTGGCGGGGCTGTGTTGACACCAACAATGAGTCCTAATCCTGGGTCGTGCGGATGTGGCTCCGAATAGCTGCAGCACACCAACCAGCTTGTGATTGGCCTTGTTTTGCCACAATTTCTGATGTCCGGTTGTCCGGCTGTGGTTCAAACCTGTTGAACTCTTTTTTTTTTCATCCCTACCGGACTCGTACGTCCTTTACCTGGAGCTTTTGCCTCCTGACTGTGGCCTAAAAGTGGGTTGATTTGGGCAATGTTTAGCCTTATCCATCCTTGTCCAATGTAAATATAAACCGTATCAATATGCATAAATATTAATAAATATGTACAAATTGAATTCGTGTGTTTGTACAGGCGTGTTCCTGAATAAATAGTCCACAACAAACATCTTGATAGCATGGACGACGTCCCCCCAGCGGAGGCAAACAGCAGGAGTTTAAGCACGTCACCTGGTCTGAGGACGTAACCAGCTCCTCGATGCGACTGAAGACATGAAGACCGGACCAAGTGACATAGTTTCAATATGTTTCAATATGTTTCAATAAACCATAATATGTTTTCTGAAAGTGACATAAATAGGATAATAGGTGACATATTCATCTGGGATTGAAACAATGATATAAAATTATGGCATAGTTTCAACATGGTTCAACCCCAGATGAATAACCATAGTAAACCTGGGTTCCTTGGTTGATCAACCAGTACCCCCAAAGTGACCGTTTCCGATCCAAAAAAGAATGGTACCACCTATAGAATGTGAAATAACATTCAACTCAGCACAGTTTTTTTTAATTAGCATATTTGGGGTCCCACGTTGACTGACAAGAACCTCAGATCAAAAGCCACCCATCCTTCTGGCACAGGTTCCGAGGCGTTTGAGGCTGCCTTTCTGAAAGAAGTGCAGGAAGGGCTGGATACAATGGCTGAAAAATTGGGTGATGCCGCAGAAATGAAGGACTTTCGCAGGCTTGGGATGCGGATGCATCATGCCTCTTGGAATTCATGGAAGGGAAGCAAGATGACTTTTTCGGGGTTCACTGAAGTACTGCCGAACTTGCCGGTGGCTCCAACGGATACAGGAGATGAATTGGTGTGAGGTGCTGGGCTCCCCAAAGAGAGAACCCGTTTTTATCCGTTTTTCAAAGAGGTTTCCCATGGTCAGTGCCACTAGATACAGAACAAACAGCTGGCTACTCCGGCGGGCATAGGCAAAGCAACAAATGGACGGCGGGCAATGCATGGCCACAACAAGCCACACCAAACCAACATGACCATGGTGAGGCAATGCTTTGGAGATAATACCTGGGTTGGAGCAGCATTTTATAGAGGATTTCTGGGCTGTTGCACGCCCCTCTTTATGTTTCTTTATGTTTCTCACGTGTTCCTCATGTTTCTCTGCACATGCGTGGTCAGCGGAGAAGCATTTCATAGACATTGTAAACGAAGTAAATCACCACATAGACACCACATAGACATAGTAGGAACAGGACATTTGAAAGAGGGATATAGAGAGGGTTTTCAACTGGCTTCTGGTTGTCAGCTGACGGAGGACCATTCTATGGACACGTTTCTCTATGACATGCTTCCATTAGTCATCTTAATGCACAACCAAAGGGAATGGGGTTTTCATATGTTTTCATGTTTGGAGGTGAAACTGTGAAACCTTTATTGGTGCGCTTCCACCATTTCGTTGGGTCCAACTCCACAAAAAACTGCTCAACGTTACCCCACTGAACGCCGTTTCATCCGAGGTTGTACAGCAGCTGGGGCAACAAAGTCTGGAGGTCTATGTGAAGAGCTGGACTCAGACACAGTTTTCACGGAATATCTCAAGAAATCTTTAGGCGGACTCGGTTAAACATGTTAAACCACTTTGATTTACCGGAGCCCTGATCATGGCTAGTGAAATTCGGTGGAATTCATCTATACTGATTGATCTGGAAGAAAGAAAACATTATTTCCATGGCTACATCGCACTTAGGAAATGTGTCGTGCGACAGTTGAAGCAGCACTGCGAAGAACTTCAGCAGATTCAACAGCTTCCGGTGGTTCGGCCTCGGTTGATTGAAGGAAATGCTTGGCCATAAGAGAGCGATGATGTGACATTATGTGACATGTTTTGTGCGGTTTACTGTTTCTAGACTTACTGTTTGCACCACGCCCAAGTAGACAAAGTAGACAAATTCTAATTTGCCTCAGCGTCCCAAACCATATCCTTAAATCGAGATTTGCAGGTTGAGGAGCGATCAAATGTGGAGAAACTTCTGCAGAAGCTTCCTTTGCTGCAAGACACTGAGCTTGCAAAGAAATAAACCAATCCCCATGGAATCATACATATCATACGGAATCAGCATTCAGAAAGAAAGGCCTGGTGAAAATTGGGAAAGCCTTTGCTAGCCAATCTCAACCTATATGATGGTCAGTGGTGAATGGTCGGATCTTTATGCATATTTCAGCATTCTCTTATGGTTTTATTGTTGTCACATATGTTTGACGTGTGTATGAATGTATGACCCCTGATTTCAGAATAGGTGCAGCCGGGGCCGGTCGTGGCTTGCCAGGAGTTGACGTCCCAATTCTATTCCCATTTCACAACTCGACCTTGCTTGACCCGTGCACCAAAGATCTCTGCAAAAGTGGAAAAGCTGTCCCACATCATTTTGAAGGAGTGGAAGGATATGTAAGGTACAGAAGCGGGAGAATAGTGGGGATCTGACCAGATCTTCCTGTACCATCCTGTACCACTGAGTTGGTGTGACGAACAGAGGTTACCTTGCCTTCGTCACTAAGAAATAGCAATAGCTACAGTGTCAACTGAATGGTTGAGGCTATCCGGTGGTTAGGACCAGTAGGAAGGAGCTAAGGAGAGGCTATTGTTTAGACGGAGGGATGATTAGACAAAGAGGTGCTGAGAGAACGAGCTGTCATGAAACGGAGATGGCATGAGAACGATAGAAAGGGATTTCAAGAGAAAACTTGTTTTGCACACATCCTATAGGCACATTCTTTCTTCCCCTAAGGTCCTTACCTCCGGGTACTTACAGATTCTTATAACTTAGCCATATTTGCATACATTTGCATACGTATTTTGAAATAATAACATATTTGTTTAGATGCTGGAACATGTGCAGACATAGGCACACCCATAGACATTATAGAACTAAATACTTACATGATATATATATATTGATGTACATATATAATTATATATCTTTGTTATTAATTATGTTATATAGTTATATGATATGATTTATTTAGCTATTTATCCTATTTACGTACATGTAGGCACATGCATGCACGTATGCATGCACGTATGCATGCATGCATACAATCCATCTATGCAGCTCATACCGTTGGATTTATATATTGATTGTCTTTGTTTAGGCACACATATACCACACTATATATCCACAGTAAATGTATGGCGTTTCAAATCCGCACGACGCATCATGCAGCCATACTTACCATAACTTTTCTCTTGGAGCCGGCTCCACAGGAGCAAGACGAGGGCGGAACTGGCGGAAGCAAAGGCATTGTTTTTGTGGAACAGGTGTGCGTGACGGAGCCCCTGGCAGTGGCGCTCAGTAGATTGGGCGTCACGGCGGAAGCTGTTCCTTGGAGAGATTAGGAAGCGCCGTAAGGCCATCGACTCCAAGCTACATGGAATGAAGGAATGGCCAAGCAACAGCGGGACCACCGGGACCATGGCCCATCACTTATGGCGCCAAAAAAATACGCGCAATCCTTCGGAGCTATATATTGCTTGACCTGTTTGGTGTACAGTACCGGGTTTGCCGGGCTTGCCGGGTTTGCCGGGTTTGCCGGGCTTGCCGGGTTTGCCCACTGAGACCTAGTACCTAGGATAGCTGTTTCTGATATCTTTATTCTGGCACCTGATCATTGTCCTTTGGCCATCCCGTCCAAAGGTTGGAACTTGGCCCTGTAACAGTTTCATCATGATCCTTGGGACGGACCCTCAAATGAGAACATGGGTTGCAAGTGTCTGAAAAGTCTATATTTTTTTGCAGCCGAATTCACAGAAATTCTCTATAGTTTGTTCACTGACCATTCTGAGTTTGGATACCATCTGATTATTTAACATAGCCATGGAAAATCACTGATAAATGGAGGTTTTAATAGGTAAACCATCTATCAATGGGCCATCTATACCATGGCTATGTTAGTCAATGTTAGTCAGAACCAGAGGGTATGTTTGGATAGTCATCTGGCTCGTGGTTTCTCCCAGGTTTATGGCATGCTGCCCAAAAAGGACCTGGATGCCATTCTAAAGCGCTTCAAAGATCCCTGGTTGCGCTTGAGGCAGCGAAATTTCCAGATCCTGCTAGAATCCTATCTCCATTTTATCCAGCCATCTCTTCAACTGTTTACCTTTTCCTTTATGTCTCTAGCTGGAGAATGTTGGCACATATCAGGATCTAATTGCCCATTGCCCTGATTTTTTTCGCAGTTGTCTTTGAGTTTTACGGGTTTAATGCCTCGGCATCGAAAGCCTCAAAATAGTGGCTGACAAGGAGCAAAATCGCAAAGTCTGGGATTGTATAACACAATACTCAGATGCTCCATGTATAGGATTCGTTCTTACATGTGTGAGTGAGTGGGCGTATTTTTTTCCTAATTAGACACCCCATTAAAGAGCATTCCGTGATATACATATGTGTATATATATATATATACACATAATACACGTATATCACATATACATACATACATACATACATACATACATACATAAATACATACATACATACATACCTTACCTTACCTTACCTTACCTTACATTACATTAATTTACATTTACATTACATTACATTAACATTACATTACTTAACATTACATTACATTACATTACATACATACATGCATGCATGCATGCATGCATGCATCCATGCATCCATGCATGCATGCATCCATGCATCCATGCATACATGCATACATGCATACATGCATACAGCATGCATCCATGCATACATGCATACATACAGACAGACAGGCATACATACATTCCGTGGGATATCCTTATGGATTATTGGCCGCATATTCTGGTGATGTGCCAGAATGCCTCCCAACAATCTTTGCGGAGGAAGGCGTTACTACAGTTCTGGTGTCGACAAACGCATTGGAAGAGGGCATCGACGTGGCAGACTGCACGTGGGTCTTTTAGCTGTTGGTTGGAGCGTTTTTCTCTTTGTAATGGGGTGTAATAGCATGTACAGTAGATGTTATTAAAAGAACTTCGAACAATCAATAGTGTGACTCCTGAATTTATTTATTGATACCCCTGAGTTAGTTGTTTAATTGGGGGCCTTAATTGAATTGGAAACCAACAGTTAACTGTAGCTTTTTGAGGGTGACCAACCTGCGTTCATTAATGTTTATTATATAAAACTATATATTAAGGGCTGCCGCCCCTGCCGCCGACCCCGGAAGAATTGGCAAGCCGTCAGAACGTATATATGGTACAGGCCTGCACCCCCCCCCAAAAAAAATGGGGAAAGGATGTTCCTGGGACAGTTTTACACGCATTGTTGCCTGTTATGGTTTTTATGTTAAAGGGGAACGTGCGTTCCTTGGTGTTGATGTTTTTTGTGATGTATCATGCATTCCTACACGGCCAACCCACAAGAGTCCCGGGAAGCTGGTGCGCACGAACGCAACAGCCTACTTGCGGAGAAAATATATGCTATCACTTGTACAAGAACGGTTCCACACCAGCAGCAATTCTCAAATACGAATGTGCAGGCTGCCGCGCCGAACGAGAAAGTAAGCGTTTGGTTGCGGTGGCTCCAGACGATCCTCGGTTTGCCGAGAGTTTCAGCTTGGCCCGAGGTATTTTCCATACGAACGGCGTGAAGTGCCACGTAAACAAACTTCGCGCGGAACAATGGGCGCGACAGCGTGGGCAGGTCATTTACTATGCAGTAGCTACGGACAAAGTCTCGGCACGAGCGTTGCACGAGAAGCCCGACATCGCCCACGATAAGCTCACATGGCTGCAGCGCAGCGACGCTGACTGCGGCAACCGGTACGGCGTCCTTCCGCTGTGCATAGGTATGCCCGTGCAAGCGCGAGAACATCTCTACCGAAAAGAGTTCAAGATTTTGAAAGGATGCCATGGAACAGTCTGCGGGTGGTCTCGCGTCGAAACAGAAACAGAATCGGCAGACGGAGCAATCATTTGGAACAAACTTCCTGAGTATATTTTTGTGCGTTTTGAAACACGCACACGGTGGACTATCCCAGACATCGATGAAGAGAACGTCTTTCCAGTCAGCGTGCAAAGTGGACTGTGGTTTTTGGACGCGGGCCGCGCCAACCCACAATTGAAAGTGACGCGATACCAATTTCCTATTGCGCCCGACTTCGCTGACACGTTCTATGGCGCGCAAGGAAGCACAATAGAGCCGGGCGTGATTGTGGACATGATCGGTGCAGACCCAATAGCGGCTTACATTGGGATGACGCGCTGCCGCACACGGCAGAAGATCTTGATCTACCGTCCGTTCCCGCTGGCGCCTTTTCAAGAGGGCCTGCCGCTTGGAAGGCAACTTCTGCTTGACGTGTGGAAGCAGGAACCGGTGGACTGGGACGCGTTGCGCAAGAAGTACTTGGATGAGAGGCCATGTCATGAGCGTGGGGAGATGAAACGCAAAGATGCATTCACCAAAGCGCAGTGGAAACAGGAGACACACCGCGTTTGTAAAGAATGCACTGCGCAGAAGCGCGAGGCAGGCACACCGTATCGATGCACGCAGTGTGGCCTGTGGCACGCTGCGTGCCACTTTGCAAGCAAGCACCAAAACCCCCGCTGGAGCATGTATCGCGTCTGTCTGTCGTGTGATGCTAAAAGAAAATGTTTTGTTTGCCAAAGCAAACAAACGAAAGAATACTTCGGCGCCTCAGCGTGGATGGCTAGGAAGCCTACGCGAAGAGTGTGTTTGCAGTGCCAAACGAAAACGCGTGGTTCTTGGAAGTGCGCAGCCTGTCACCAACGCAAACCGCAGCAGCAATTTTCTGATTTCATTGGAAAGCGGCCTTCTGGCGAAAACGGCACACAAATATGCAATGTATGCCGCGCTGTCGTTGCGCAAGCAGTTCTCCGCAAGCGGGCTGCTGCATCGATCATAAGCCGACTGGAACCTCTTCGCAAAAAATTGCGTCAAACCCAAGTGCTACGCGAGACATGGCAAGCGATCGCAGAATACAGAAAAAAACGCACGGGCCAAACCATGACCAGCGAAAAAGAAGGTACACACGAGGTTGCAATCCCAAAAGACATGGAGCAAAAGCCACCACCACAAAAGCTGTATGTGTACTCATGCCCTTTTTGCCAAAAATCTGTTACTACGTCAATTGTTTCCGGACATGTCAACCACCGACGCATATGTGGGAGACAATTTCGCGTGCAGGATGGCCTTCTTCGACCGACGCTGCCGGCAACGCGCTTTTCGCACATATGCCCTACTTGTGGAACCTGCGTCCAGAGCACCAAAGAATTTGGGCGAATCCAAAGCAAACACAAACAATCCAATGGCCGCGTGTGCCCCCGAACGGAATGGCATGCACAGTAACAACAAACGACCAGTTCCGGCTTGCTTGTCTGCTTCAGCTCTCAGCATGAAAACTTTCTGCTCCTGCTGCTGTTGCGGCAAAAGCTTCTGCTGCTGTTATTGCTGCTGCCGCGGGTCGTCTATTTGCTGCTGTTACTTTTCCTCCTGCTAGCAGGCAAAAAACTTCGATGGTGTTGCCTGCGGTTGCTTGCACTACAACAGCTTCTACCAAATCGCACACACCATGGCTCTGAAGGACGATCTAGTTCCAAAAACCACGCCAAAAAAGTGCCTAACGTCCCGTCTGAAATCCCAGAAAAACAACATTTTTCGAGAATTTCTGTTGCCTGCGGCCGCTCGCAGGAAAACAACTGCGAAAAAAGCAGCTCCCGGCAGGAAAACACCATGGCTCTGAAGGACGAACTAGTTCCAAAACCACGCCAAAAAAGTACCTAACGTCCCGTCTGACATCCTAGAAAAACAACCTAACGTCCCGTCTGAAATCCTAGAAAAACAACATTTTTCGAGAATTTCTGTTGCCTGCGGCCGCTCGCAGGAAAACAACTTCGAAAAAAGCAGCTCCCGGCAGGAAAACACCATGGCTCTGAAGGACGAACTAGTTCCACAACCACGCCAAAAAAGTGCCTAACGTCCCGTCTGAAATCCTAGAAAAACAAACTTTTTCGCAGGAAAACAACTTCGAAAAAAGCATAAAAGCAGCCCCCGGCAGGAAAACACCATGGCTCTGAAGGACGAACAACCTTTTTCGCAGGAAAACAACTTCGAAAAAAGCAGCTCCCGGCAGGAAAACACCATGGCTCTGAAGGACGATCTAGTTCCAAAAACCACGCCAAAAAAGTGCCTAACGTCCCGTCTGAAATCCAAGAAAAACAACATTTTTCGAGAATTTCTGTTGCCTGCGGCCGCTCGCAAAGATGGGATCCCCACGATCATAGGAAACAACTTCGAAAAAAGCAGCTCCCGGCAGGAAAACACCATGGCTCTGAAGGACGATCTAGTTCCAAAAACCACGCCAAAAAAGTGCCTAACGTCCCGTCTGAAATCCAAGAAAAACAACATTTTTCGAGAATTTCTGTTGCCTGCGGCCGCTCGCAGGAAAACAACTGCGAAAAAAGCAGCTCCCGGCAGGAAAACACCATGGCTCTGAAGGACGAACTAGTTCCAAAACCACGCCAAAAAAGTACCTAACGTCCCGTCTGAAATCCTAGAAAAACAACCTTTTTCCAGAATTTCTGTTGCCTGCGGCCGCTCGCAGGAAAACAACTTCGAAAAAAGCAGCTCCCGGCAGGAAAACACCATGGCTCTGAAGGACGAACTAGTTCCAAAACCACGCCAAAAAAGTGCCTAACGTCCCTTCTAAAATCCTAGAAAAACGACATAAAACAACATAAAACAACTTTTTTCGAGAATTTCTGTTGCCTGCGGCCGCTCGCAGGAAAACAACTTCGAAAAAAGCAGCTCCCGGCAGGAAAACACCATGGCTCTGAAGGACGAACTAGTTCCAAAACCACGCCAAAAAAGTGCCTAACGTCCCTTTTGAAATCCTAGAAAAACAACCTTTTTCGAGAATTTCTGTTGCCTGCGCCCGCTCGCAGGAAAACAACTTCGAAAAAAACATAAAAGCAGCTCCCGGCAGGAAAACACCATGGCTCTGAAGGACGAACTAGTTCCAAAACCACGCCAAAAAAGTGCCTAACGTCCCTTCTGAAATCCTAGAAAAACAACCTTTTTCCGAAAACAATTTCGAAAAAAGCATAAAAGCAGCTCCCGGCAGGAAAACACCATGGCTCTGAAGGACGAACTAGTTCTAAAACCACGCCAAAAAAGTGCCTAACGTCCCGTCTGAAATCCTAGAAAAACAACCTTT